CAAACTGCAAAGCAGTTTGTATCAGAACAAATACCACAACACAATTCACACTGCATTCAAAACAACATACTACAGGTCAAGATGATCAAGCAAGTCCAACACAAAATACCAACGGGCATCATCCATTGCGAAGATCACTTCCCGAACCGACTCACGTGGTACTGCCCAGCACTATACCACACTGCCATACACAACACTTTTTTAGACAAAGAGATTTTTCGGATGTCGCAGCGCCAACCTCTACAACACCACTTCGATGTCTACACAGACATCCGCAGTCTTCTACCAGCATACACATGGGCGTTTCCACAGTGGGGACGCATCCCACGTGCCTACATTTTACCGAAAAGAAAGAAGCAATTCACAAAAGGACGTCCTATAGTGGCGTTCATCGACACCATGGGCAGGAAATTATGGGAAGCCTTAGCAGACGTACTGCAGCTGATGACCCTTCAAGCATGCCCAAACTCCTTTCACCAAGGAGATGGGATAACCCAGCTCAAACAAACAGCGCTCTTTTTGCATCAGCGCAGAAAACTACACGATTCAACAGATTACATCCTGTACAATCAGGATTTAGCTGGATTCTTTACATCGGTCGATCAAAGCCGGTTTCTTTCAGCATACAGCATCATGGTTCGATGGTACAGAGAGAAGAACCCACTGCACTCTTCCAAATTCTTCATTGACCACTCACAGAAAGACCCCACACATCGAGTTCACAGAGGTAAAAGCAGACAAAAGCAGCAGGAAGCCTCCTCCGGCAACAAACTTTGCATACAATTACAACACATACCACAACTCATCATTGCAGTGCTCAGGCTCAACTATTTCACTGTCGGTACATCACTCATTGAGCAATTTCGTGGAGCACCTATGGGCTCGCCCTGCAGCCCAGCTTTATGCAACATCGTGGTTGCTGTAGAAGAGCAGTGTTGGCACCACACATACAAGCAACTTTTCACGAACCACAAGCATTTTCCAGACCACAACAAGCAGGATCAAGCTTACTTTTTTGCTACCAGATACGTCGACAACCGCGTCCTTCTATTGCCTGCACAGCTGACCCGACTGCCTCCTTTTGCACAGCTTACTGACGCATCTTTCTACAAACCACCGGTTCAGCTTGAAACTGAACCGGCCAACATTTTCCTGGGTTTCGCCATAAACCCTCAGCACAGCAGCCTTACGCATCACTGCACTTTACACAAGGCGGATATTTTACACCCACAGTCGGCGACCTCTGTTGCAACACTTCGCAGCAGTTTTCAGGCCCGCACACGCATGGTACGCAGAGTGACAACACCATGCAGCGAGGCCACATCAGCCATTCGAGCCATGCGCGATCTGTACATCGCTGCCGGCTATACTGATCAACAGCTGTAAGCAAAAACACTGTGCCAAGTTGCAGTGCGTGCGTTCAGAGCCATGCAACTTTGCAACATGTGAGACGCCTTGTACCAATACAGTGTTTCCCGCAGCCATTTACAGGGACTAACTGAGGCATCATCATGTATAAAAGTGCCATGACTGGCAGATTGCAGCCGAGCCACAAAGCGCTGAGCGGCCGTCCTCGGCCATCCATCTCCAAGCATAGCAGACGCCGCAACGAGCAGCCTGCGGTTGGCAGCCACACTCAACAGCCGGCGCCTTTACGCTCTCAGTTCCTACGTGTCGCAGAAGACGAAGATTTCCAAGATTACCAAGAGCAACACCAAGATCCGCAAGAACAGCAGGACGCAGCAGTGGCTGCACCGGCGACTCCACCATTTCCACCTCCGCCGCATTCTGGTCCGGATTCATCGGCTGAGATTATTGAGTTACTAACACAGTTTCACAATTCGTTGCTTGAATCCAATGCCAAGCTGGAACGCTTGATACAGCAGGCCACAACGGTGTTGACTACTCAACACGAAGCCACCACTGCCATTATGGCATCATGCAAACAGCAACTTGATATTCTCGAGAGCCTTATGAGGCAAAACACACCAGACTGGTCCTGAATGTGCTGCTGAATCCGCTGGTATAAAAAGAGCCAGGTAGTGCACACCTCTTGCATTTGACCATTTGTTGCTTGCAGATACGCACCATAACTTCGCCTTCTGAAGTTTTATGCCTCAGAGTGACACCTATTCGAATCCCGACATAGAGCCATGAGCGAAGCATCTTTTCCGACAAACACAGCGACTACAGCTTCGCCACCCATCGATGAGGCACGACGTGAAGCTCTCTCCGAGGCCATCATGGAGATTTTGACACAGCATCGGGACTATGATTCAGAAACTGGAAGCGAACCTTCCACATTCAGTGACGGGGCTCTACGCGACCAATTAGCCGAGTTTATTCTTCAAACAACTCGGCAGATCACAGAGCTAAAGCAACGAGTGGAACGACTCGAAGCTTCGCAACAATAGGTGATCAACCATGCTCATACCGTCATCGGGCACATTGCAGCGGACGGTGAAAACAATGATAGTCGTTTTCGCCAAGTGTTACAGTCAGCGCACTCACTTCACATATGTTTGTTATGCAGCGATTGATGCACTCTTTCCCGCAGCATTTTGAAAAACAACCAGTTGTGTTAGCATCATGGAACAACGCACCAGATCGCGATCTCCGACGGCATCACAATGGAGATGGCATTGGGCCACTAACGGCTCTTCATGGTGGCGAGAGTACTTTATCGCATCTCAAGAGTGGATACGAAAGCATTCGGAGCAGCCTGATCAGCGTCCGACATCAACGACTCCTACCCAAAAGGAGACAGTATCTACTACATCAACTCCTACATCCAACAAGCGAAAGCGATCAAGAACTCCGTGAGCAGCATTGCTGAGTTGACAATTAGATGCATATTTGCTGCCCCCGGCAGCCAACAATCACACAGCAAAGCTGTGCTGCGAACTCCATCACATCTGATGAGGTTCAACATTAAGAGCATCATGTCGAAAGTTCATGCAGGTCTGCGCGGTTTATCAATTGATGTCTCTGTGTGCCTCTCTCTCTCTTCTGAAGTTCTACGTTTGCACATGCCTCAATGCAGTTGTGACTCCGCAGCCATTTCTCTAACCTACAGTTGCTGAAACACATTAGGACAGTTTTGCACACAAATGGACGAGGATGACGACAGCAGCCTATGGGGATCCGAAGAGATTGATGCCTTCTTGAGGAAGGACGACACCACCAGATCCTCCCATGCAGTCAGCCACACACACAAGCAAAAGACAAAGCACACAACGAGGACAAAAAAGAAGAAAGACAACAAAGACAAAAAGGACAAAACAGTCAAGAAAACAAAGAAAACACGCAACATCTCACCACCATCCCAATCCACAACACAGCAACGACGCCAACATCCACATACTACAAGACGAAAGAGGACACGCTCTTCGCATTCAACATCATCAGCGTCACCTACGGCAACGTCACACATGGCTGAGGACCCACACCGGTCTCCATCTCGAGATCCTTGGTCTTCTGACTCGATTGCACCTTACGATATTGTGCATCCTACTATTCAGCACAAGCGGTCCAAAACCGCTTGTGCAAAAATGCTGGTACGTGCAGGATTCAGGTGTCGCTGCCATTTCAAGATCATGAGTGACTGTCCCAACAGACTCGCTGTTGGACCCTAATTCTCAGGACGGATTAGGGCTGCAAGATCCGCTAAGCGTGACCAAAAAGCCTGCGCATGCGAGCGTCAGGACGACACCGCTTTGTTGTTTTGCCAGAGCACACATCATGTCCATGTTGATTTGCATTCCTTGTTCAAGCTTTTGTCGGTTGGTAGCAGAAAAAATATGACAAAGCGAAAGGCTGCCGAGGCCGGCCTTCCATGGTACTCCATGGCAGGACAATGTTTTCGGATGACTGTTGAAATTCCACCCGACCGCATCACCAGAGACAAGCACATGTTCTTACACGTGGTGCTTTGTCTGGGCGACAACGTTCTCCAAGCACGCAAGATCTTCTCCTACCGCATCAAGGAGATCACCGGCAGAACTCCTAAAATCCCAGCTTTCTTCTTCGAACAAAACCGACGACGACTACATGATTGGGATTCAGTCACCACATTAGCCACGTTGATGCCGGTGCTTTTTGTTAGAACCTGTTCGGATCAGGAAATACGACAATCACCCGATCGCTATTGACAGCGAGAAAAGTGCGCCATTCACTCCTATTGCCGTGCATCAGACCTTTCACTCTACTTGAAGCATGTACGCCCCATTGGGGCTGTGTGTGTGTGAACCTCCCTAGCACATGGGAGCAGAGGGTCACTCCTACACTGTTTGCAATTTCGCTTTTCAACATAATCCGACATTGGACATTTACCAAATCAACTGTTGCAGGGGGATCAGGCTTCCAGTGACTGACCTGATCCAACGAAGCTAGGTCACTGGAAGGGAAGTGATTGAGGACGCTCAGTCATGTACCTGCACAATTTTCGGCAGCCCCCTGTGGTGCCAAGATTAGTCTGAGGACAGGCCCCCTGTGGTGTCCAGATTAGACAAACAATTTGTACGGTTGCCGCAATCTGACAAACAGTTGCAACATGAACAACATTCCTCTCTTTTTGTCCTTTGCACTCGTACTCTCGGCCGAATCCATCAGTGTGTGTGTGTGTGTGTGTGTGTGTGCGTGTGCGTGTGCGTGTGCGTGTGCGTGTGTGTTTGGAAAGAACCGCCTTGCTTCAGGGATGCTACTGCTTACTTTCTTCAAACTAGCTCACATGACCGCCTGTTTTTTTCCGCCGTCATGGAGTGGCAGAACTCTTCGAGACAGAGCCTGCCCATGCCAAGTATAATTGCCGGCCGATGCTGCCCTCATATTACGAGACCCATTGGGACAACCGACAAATGCGACTGCCGTCTCAAACTCCAGATTAACCACTGCAAACCTCAGTCCGAACAAATCGCAGCACACGGGTGTCTGTCGCACAATCGATGATTTCTCGAAGCAAAAGGCAGGAAGGCAAACGCACTTGCTTGACAGCGAAGACACTACTCCACCAACTGAGGACTGTGGACTTTGTCGAGCAATGGGGCCAACCTTCCGAGCAGGTTGATGTTGAACGGGATCAATCCACTGCCGTCTAACTTCCAGCTTCCAGCTGAGAGGCCACTCGCCCAATTTGCGGTAGCCTTCCCCTGATGGATGAACGCCATCCACAGACCACCAACGCGCGTCTGCTTGAAGCACTGGCATTGCGGAGTCTGCAGACAGTGCCCTCAGCACACGAGAAAAGCTTGACCCGATCGTTCACGCTGTCTGCCAACAGCCAACAACATGCATCACACTATGAAAAAGTCACCGAGTCTCCTGACAGCTCCAGTGGCTTCGAGTAGTGTCTTTTGTGCCTCGAACTGGCCGAAAAGTGCCTTGGTCCCAACAGGGTATCGGGGCAACATTTTCCGCGTAGCCGCATGATCGCCAAGCTCGCTGCATCCACCAAATGGCACATTGGCCACTGCTGAAACAAAGGGGCTTGAACGTGACCTTAGAACTACAGTAGGTGACGTGAACACGCAGAAGCGCAAGTCAACTCTCTGTCAAGTTGCCAAGGAGTTGTGGAACGGTGATCACACTCTCTGGAGCAGCTTTCCTCAAAGTGCCACACAAGGCAGCCAGGTCTTCGCGAAAATGCGAAGGCCATCGGCCTCACAGACATTACATGCATTACATGCATTAGTGGAGCTCAGCAGTGCGTACTTTCCAGCTTGTTCGCACAAGGTTTAGCTTCACAGGCCTTGTAGAAACTTCTTGCCATCGTTGACTCCACACAAAACCACGGCAATATCAAAGCTGTGGTCTTCATCGACCAAAGCATGGAGCTCACGTACATCTGCACCATTTGCTGCAATTGTGCTCCATTCCACAGGTCGCCGTTGGATCTTAGCCAACCGCTCTGCACATGCAGCTTGCAAAGGAGCTGCAATCTTTGCACCAACACCGACGGCGATGGAGTCACCCACGAAGAGGAGCTTCAAGGGCTTTCCATCATAATTGCGACCTGCATGGCCATGACGCTCTCCAGGTGGTTCTCCTTCCACACATGTGTTTTCGTAGCATTTTGCAGCATGGACCGTCAACCTGCATCTTTCGACCGTCAACCTGCATCTTTCAAAGACCGAGATAATTGGTAGACGCGCCTGGACAGCGGTACCTCCACCTGAGGTGGGCCGCCTGAGCTGCACCCGCCATGGACACGCCGGCTGCTGCCATCCCCAGGCCACGCAGAGCCCTTCGCATAGAGCCGGACATCTCCAAGTTTCCTGTCAGGAACAGTTGAAAGAACAAGTGCGGCACCTGGCAGATGAAAAAGAAACCATTCGGACAATCTCCACCTGTTGAGATCAGCAGCACGCTGAAGGAAAATTCTGGTCCTGGCGGCCCGAAGCCGAGCTACGATGCTCGCACACGCCTGCATAGACCTGCATCAAACACAGAGCGGGAAGCACGCCTCGGCCGGCATCAGCCAAAGCTTTACAAAAGTCTGAGGGCAAAAGCTGCGGTCATCAACAGGAACAAAACATACTCGCACAGAACTCAAGCGGTTGCATCACATGATCCACTCACCGAGTTCGGGACATCTAATGCTTTCTTTCCCTGGGAGATCTTCAAGGCTACCATGCCTGCCAAAGTTCCACGTGCTCCATCACGGAGGCAACCGAGCCGTGCAGCTGAGCTTTCCACCATTGGAAACTCCAAGGACAAGTGCCATCAGCACTTGAACCTATCAGTGCGAGTGGCGTCATGGACATGCTCGCATTTGTGGCAATGGACGACGGCCTTCACCCACATGGTCATCGTCGGGATTGAGCCTCAGAACTGTCCCCTGTTTCCACACTCGTGAGAAAGAGACAATGACTGCAAGCCAAGGACACTCAGCACCATAATCTTGCCACATCGCCCAGCCACACCTGCTATCTGAGGGGCCCGTTCCTCCACGATAGCATTCAAGCGCGGAGGCCCGTGCAACAACAGGACCGGCAAAACGACCAATGTGTTTTGCCTCGGCAGGTGAAGCCACGAGAGAACACGTTAACTTTACACGCAAGATTACCCGTCACTGGGAATGTGGCATGCGCAGTGCCGACATGGAGATGTTGAGCAGCGTTGGTGATATCAAGCCAGCCAGGAGCATTGACATCTGGCACGCCATCCAACTTCAGAGAAGTCTTGTCGAAAACAGACCCTACGGACCGTGTGCAGCACAAACGAGGACAGGCTGTACAGATTCTCTGCAAACCGCGGCGCGAAATGTCCCATTTCATATTCTCAGCCATCTAGAAGCAGAGCAGATCTTTGATAAAGTAGCTCATGAGCCATGAGCATTGACCGACCATGGAACACTGAAGCGAATGCCAGCACGAAGTAAAGCAGTGTGCCCGGATGACTGGTGGAAAGTTGGAGGAGAGGGCCTTGTCCTCGGCTACAAACTGCAAGCATCAGGCGCCAGCTGGGATGCACAACAGCCTGCAGCGCAGCACAAACTGTAGAGATCTAAGGCCGCAGCCAAATCCAACAAGATCATGGCTTCTTCAGCTTCAATGGCCCGCATGACCTAGGAAACTCCTCCTCCTGAACTAATGAGCTGCACACCTGCCACACTCAGGCACTAAGCACCGTGACAGCTCCGGCTGTGCTGTTGAGCTCATTCAAGAGAAACGTTTTCGCCTTGACATCACACAGGTCATGTGGTGGTCAGCTACGTATTGCTTTGATGCTGGCATATGCTGGCCTTGTCTGGGAACTGGTACAAGCGTGACCTGCCAGTGGTCGATCTGCGTGTCTGCTGCAGACCCAGCGCAAACTTGGGCACAAAGTAAAGTAGTAACAACACGTCGCGAGGCTCTGGCTCCAGAATGCCCTGCACTGCCTCACACTTTTCTGCAGTTGAGTCTGAGTCTGTACAATCCCAGATGCGCCCACAGCATCCGACATCCATGCAGTCTCTTGTCGGGCACCTGTCCCTTCGCGAGCTTTGGGCCGATCCTGTGCGCCACAGATTGCGCCAGCGTCTTCGCCAAAGACCTCCGTTGGAACAAAAAGGTTTCTGCCAACCAGCGCTTGGATGAGTCCGCGTCTCGAAATCTTGCATGGCCGCTTCTCCCTGCTGGAGAGCTTCGCCGAGCACCTGCACATGACAGAATCCATCTCACCATGATTTGTGGGCGTCTTGTTGCACTCAGAACTCCCTGCGCCTCAGGTGCCGGTGCCTGTGGGAGCCGCGGTGCCGTCTTATACTCCCAGATCAGACTCGTGGTTCGCTGTCAGGCCTCCTGGGCCTCCTCGCTCTTCCCATCGACCTGGCGCAACGCCGTCTGACCCTCGTCGCTTGGGACTACTCGTAGTATGGACTATTATGGACTGGCAAACGCGCTCGGCTGGACTACGAGCTGCTCGGCAGTACCCTTGGATTTCGATGGAAGCCAGGTGTAGAGCGCGAAACATGTGGCGGCCAGGCCAAACACCTCAGTCGACACAAACTGCAAACAACTGCAACACCTTTCCGCTCGCTGCCGCGTCGTCCGAGGACGAAGCCATCAGCCAGACGGAGGTGCTTGCAGTGCCGGTGCCCATGCCCACCACTTTTTCCATGAGAAAGGTTGCCTCGCATCATCCCGCAGTGCAGCTTCTCAAACAGGAATTCCTCACAACGACCGCCTCGCTGAAGGGCTGTGAGTGGTTTCGCTCCCCACGAGTTGTCTGCAAGAGGCCTCGCGGCAGACCCTCGCCAGACATCGGTACCGAATGGCGTTGCTCTTTCTAGCTAGCATTCGGCCTTGTCTGGCATTACAAAGACACAACCAACCGAAACCAACTCACCTTCCGAATTCGCTGAAACAAAAACTGCCACCCCGTGCCCATACGAAGCGCCTTTGCCACGGGCTGGTGCTGCTTTTGCCTCCCGGGTCCGACACAAAAGGTGACACCGATCATGACAGTACCACAAACTTCCGGAAACTGACAGAAGCACGCTTCAACCTGTTTTGGCAAGCGCTGGCATCGACAGAACACGACCGCCACACAAAGCATACATTATTCACCAGTGCGATGTGCAGCAGAAGCCTATTTGTTGTAAACAGGAGGAGTGGAAAGTTCAGGCACTTGAAACCGTGGGCTAAATAAAACCTGGCCCACACTGAATGTACCAAGTCCGTGCCGGGCGAGATTGCGGGAGCCTCATCACGTACTTCAAGGTCACGTGCCAAAGTGTGCAAGTTCGACACGTCCTGGCAGGCGGCTTCGTGCAGAATGCTTTGGCACGGAACGTGCGCTGCAACCTGTTGAGGCAAGGCGACCACGATGGCCACATACGCGTAGAACATGTAGAGTAAGGTGTTCCTGACGAGAGCATTTCAGCGGGTTGCCACAACAACTTTCGAATCCCTAAGGCCGCGGCATTTTGCGGATAGGTGGATAGTATCTTCGCAATGGCGTGTATAGTCGAAGCTAAACTCCGCTGCAACCAAGAAGTGAAAGCAGCAGCGCTCTCAAGCTATGTCTGGGTTCACATGACATTGGTGTTGAGTCAAAGTTGCGTGCTGTCTGTTTTCCGGCTTTACTCGCTTGCTATTTCTGGCTCAAACTCAAATCTTCACTCCGTTTTCACTCTCGGGCGCCCCGATGCCATGTCGGCTGCGGTGATTGGGCAGCTCCATGAGCCACCGCCTCGTCAGCTGCGTGGTGGGCCGCTTCCTTGCCGCCGACGTGCAAGGGAAAGCTGGGCTCACGCAGCCCTCACATGCAGCGGAAGCACGTCCCGGTGCTTCACTTTGCTTCGGGCCGCTTGCGCTTGCTTGGGGGTGGCTGCTGCTGGGCGTCTGGTGGCACCCTGTAAGGCTGGTGCAGCACAAGTTGCCACGGTGGGGGGGTTGCGGCATCCATTCGAAGACGCCGCCGCACGGGGCATGCTTCACACATCACATCTTCATACGGCGTGATTGCCGTCCGCTGCTGCGGTCGGGCGCAGGGCCGCAGCATCGGCGACCTGTCCGGGTTGGCCAGCAGTGCCGCGGGTGTGCGGTTTGACGCTTGCGACAACTCGAGCCCCAGCCCCAGCCCCTGCCCGCTCGGCCCGGTTTTGCCAACCCAGCAGTGGCATGCATCCGGGTTGCGACGATGCTTCCGGCGTGCCCCGCCAACACATCGCCATCACGAGGACAACATTCTTCGTTGTACGTCCCCCTTCTACACGCCGGGGCTGGACACCTCACCAGCGCTGCTTACCACGAATGGAGCCAACAGGCGCATGTAGTTGACATATAGGCCAACGTTAGCTTGATGTTGGTCCGCGTTTTTTTTTTGGTCGTCGCACCTTTTTGCTCCTGCAAGTCGGCGACGCGTGAAGGCCTTTCCAGGGTAAGGCCGCGTCGGCAAGCGGCTGCGTTTTTCCGGGGCAACGCCTTCTGCGCTGCAACGGTGATGATGCTGCTCCAGCGAGAGACATAGGCTGCACGCAAAGCCGACCGAACGGCAGCGTGCGCACGCCCAATTCGCGCCCGTGCGAGGAGCCTGAGGAATGTCGCGGGCTCGGGGCCCCAGCGGCCGCGGCCGCCAACCTCGACAGCGAACACCACGAGGTGGCAGCGCGTCGAGCGCGCAAGCTCGGGCTACGTGTCGCGTCGCTTACGCCTCGTGTGGCTTGCTGTAGGGCGAGGCCGGGGTGCTGCGAGCGCATGCAGGAGGTTGTCGGCGATCTGCGGAGAGCGAGCTCGGATTGCTGGTAGCGCGTCGAGCCAAGAGGCCCAATACGCGGCATAGCGGTCGGCGGTTGCCGAGCAGCCCGAGGCCGCCGAACCCAAGGGCAAGCTGCGAGGTCCGTACTGCAGCAGCTGGGAGCTGATCACCGCTGTGCACGAGGGAGCCCAGGCAGGTTTTTTTCTTTTTTTTCTTCGCACCTTTTTCCGGCCGCACCAGGTCAACAACCTACCTACCGTGTCCTACGGCGGCGCCCATACCAGGCCCTCATCGAGGTCCCTGGCGGCTGCCAGGCACAGGAAGCTGCCAGCGCACATCGGCAAGGACCTCGTGCAGCTCAGGCGCATCCCCGGCGAGGTTGCATTCCCCCGCGAGTGGGAGTTCCAGCAACGACGCGGCAATGGCGCGTTGCGCAGCGACTGCCAGCAGGCGCAGCGGCCCGCAGGGGCATTGGCACCTCCAAGGCCCGGCGGCCAGCGAGCAAGCGGAGCCAGGTGGCTGCTTCAGCGCCAAAACGGCCGCCGACTTCAACACCGACAACAACAAGGCGGGAGCGACGGGCGCGCACGAGTTCAGGATAAGTTTGAAAGCGTTTGCGTCGCGCGGCTCCGTCGACAGCTCGGCTAGGCCGCACGTCAGCACCCGGTTGAGCGTCTCCAGCCCTGGTGACGGGGCTGACGATGGTGGCATCTACGGCTTGTTGCGAGCCATGCCACAGGGCCAAGCCGTTCGCGACGACTTCGATGCGGCGGTCGTCGGCTACCGGCACATCGATGTTCATGTCTGCCAAGCGGACATTACGGGCAACACGTGCGCCGGCTTCCTGGCAGACCCTCGCAACAGCCCGTTCAAGAGGGAGGGTCCGGGAGGCGAGCACTCCGGAAGTTGCGCACGCAGCCCTGTGATCACCGAGTGGGTCAAGGCGACCACGGCAGGCGCACGTGCGCGGGGCGACCGGTAGTGGCAAGCGAAGCCGGCGCAGCATCAGGACGCGGAACAACGGCGAAGTCACCGTCAGTTCAGTTGAGGTGGGAAAGACGGTGAAGGTCCGTGCAGCATGCGGCCCAGCCTGTGACAGCAGCAGCACTCGAGATGAGGCATCAAGGTCAGAAAGATGCAACTCGAGCGCGCGCTTATCACTGGCAAGGGAAGCCTGATGCTGCCAGCCCCTGAGGAAGTCGCCGAAGTCGCGGTCTGCTTGCCCGGGTGGCGGCTGCCCCTGCTGCAGCGAGGCCCCCGGGGGAGCATCGTAGCCAAGCTCGCGAAGGCAAGCGGCTGCGTGACGGGCAGCTGCAAGGAGTGCAGCGGTCTTGGTCGCAGACTGCAGCGCTTGGACCAAACGGTCGGCTGCCAGCGCCCGAATGGCCGGCAAACAATCAACCCACGAGGCCCAATAGGCGGAGGGTGCTGCGTCGACTGCCGAGTGCAACCCAAGGCCACCGAAGCGCAAGGGCAGGTGCGCGAGGCGCTGCGAAGGCTCGGGCAGCGGATGTTGGGTGCTCTGAAACAGCAGGGCCGCTACGCATGCACGGACGGCGTTGTCATGCTTGCGTGCGAAGGCTTGCGTCGCGCCAGGCGGCAGCATCCGAAGCAGGTAATTTGCGCGCGGCGAAGCACAGAAAAGCAACAGGAGCCACGCGGACTGCAAATCGCCGACAGCAGGGAAACGGCTGAGCAGCTGGTCTTGGACCTCGCGCTTGCGGCCGAGCTCACGGCGCACGAAAGCTTCACTCCCCAGCGGTGCGCCCAGCACCAGCAGCCCTTGCTGGTCAGCGGGCAGGGACCATCCAAACCGGGCCAGCGCCGACCGGCTGGAGGCGGGCAATTCCACTGGGTTCTTCACCTGCCGCATTCCATACGCGGGTCTTGCCTTGGTGCAAGCGAATGCGCGCGTGGCGCCACAGCGCGTCTTCCAGGGCACCGTGCAGTTCCCCGGTGCGTTCCGGTGCTGACACCACGTACGTGTCGTCCAAGAAGGCGAAGATTGCTTCACCTTCTCGGAGTCCGGCTGCGGCCTCGCTCAGAGCCGCATGCTGCGCGAGGGAATAAAGCGCTGGCATAAGCGGATTCCCCTGTTCTCCTCCGTCGCCTTGCACCACGTCATGTTCGTCGCCGTTGTCGTCGAGCCAGGTGTAGACGCTGGCGCTGCCGTAAAACTGGTGAGCGAAAGGGAGAAGTGGGACCAGGGCTGGGCGGGACCTGAGCCCTTCCAGCATGGCCTGGCGTGATACATGGTCGTAGGCGCCGACCGCATCAATGGACAGCACGGTCGCGCGCGGGTCCAGCTCGGTGGCAGTGTGGAGGATTTTGTATAGACCCTCCGTGCCCGCCCGCGTGCCCAGCCCAAATTGGTACGGAAGGCACGCTTCTTGGAAGGCGGCGGCAAAATGCTGCGCCAGACGTCGCCTACGACCAGTGTCCGCACACGGCCGCTGGGCTTACGCAGCGCAACCATGCGCCCAAGGCGCAGAGCCTGGAGGACCTGCTCTGGCACGTCTGCGTTGGCCAAGCGCTCGGCAGCTTGATGGAGCAGTGCGCAGTCAGCTGGGTCATCCAAGCGCATGTGTTCGTTGGTAGCTCCGGAAGGGCCGGCCGCCGACCCTCGGCGCGCACCTCGCAGGCAGCCCAGCAACACGGTCGCGGGCAATGGGCAGGCTGCGACCGGCCTATGGGTGAGCACAGCGTCCGAGAGAGGCACTTGTGCTGCAGGCGGCCGCCGATCCGGATCACGGAGTTCAATGAGGGTGTCGGCATTGCCCGGTGCCAGCGGCTCAGCCGTGAGCGCGCCCGGGTGGCTCGAGACTGTTCGTGAGTGCCGGGGCGGGGGCGGTTTCCCCCCGCACGACTAGCTTCCGTGGCTTCGCGGAGCAACTGCACCCACTCCCTACGCCTGAAGAGCTCGCATCGCTGCGCGAGCTCGTTTGCCTAAACAGACTGCTGCCCTGCAGGGCGATGCAGCAGCATCCGGGGCGCAAAAAGGAAAAGCTTCCAGCCGCTGGCCGCTGCTGCTGGCCGCGACGCACGCCTGCTTCGACGTTGGCGACCCGCAGCTCGCCTTGTGTGAAGTCCAATCGCACTGCGGGCTCGCGCGCTGCAATTGGCACTTGGGCATCGGCCGAAATGTTGGTGGGTGTAGCACCGCCCCGCGCACGTCCCCGACCGTGGGCGCGGATGCCAACGGCGCGGCCGGTGGAGGTATGGGCTCAGCGGGCTCTCCGATGCGGGAGTGCGTTGCCGCTTCGTTGCCTGGGCCCCCAGGCCCCCGCGATTGCGCACGCCTTCGGGCAACAAAGGCAGCATCAGCGAGGGCAGCATCATCCGGGATGCGCGCCTCGTCCGCATCGCTTGGTGGGTGCAGCTCTGTGGGCAATGCTGGTTGTTCAGCGGGTGGGGAAGCAGGCTCTGTCGGTACGGAGGCATGGCACGCCGTCTGGTCGCAAGGGCGGCGTCGAGGTTCGGCAGCGAACTGGGCTGTGAGTGCGGGCGGGACGTTCCGCAGGAGGTAGTTGGCCCGGGGTGCTGCGCAGTAGTGCAATAGCAGCCAGTCCAGATGGGTTCCTCGCTGTGGCCGTGCAGGTCGGAGATGCGGGCGGGTTCCTCCCCCGCTGCATTCCAAATGCGAGTGTTGCCACGGTTAAGCTCGATGCACACATGCTCGCGAAGTGCTCGCTGGCAGGCGTCCTGCAGTTCCCGGATGCGCTCGGGAACTGCGACGAAATAAATATCGTCGAGGTAGGCAAAAACCGCGTCGCCCTCCCGCAGCTGCGTGTGAACGGCTGCGAGGGCGGGGTGTCGAGCGATGGCGTAGAGGGCGAGCATAAGCGGGTCGTGTTGTTCGCTGCCCTCAGACTGCCGCACCTCGTGGGTCTGTCCGCTAGCGTCCTGCCACACGTACGTGCTGTCGGAAGCGTAGAATTGGCGGACGTACGGCAGCAGCGGCTGCAAGCTTTTGTGCCTGCACGGGTGCTGAGGCCGAACTGAAAGGGCATGCACGCGGCTTGCAGTTCAGATGCATATTCCTGGGCGAGTGTGCGCCCGACTATAGCCGCCGCAGCACATCGCCAAGGGCCCGCACGCGACCGTTTGAGCTTGCGGAGTGCGACTATGCGGCCCGCGCGGATGGCCGAGACGACTGGTGCCGGCACCTCAGTGCGCACAAGCCGCTCGGCAGCGCGGTGCAAGAGTATGCAGTCAGTGTCGTCCTCGAGCAATATGCGGAAGTGTTCGTTGGTGATGCCTGAAGGTCCAGCGGCCGATCCTCGTCTAGCGGTCCGCAAAGAGGCGATGAACGGATGCAATGGGAGCGCACACTGTTTCCCCTGGCCTGAACGCGAGGAGCTCAGGATCGGGAGGAGCGTAAGGAGCTTGCATGGGGCCGGTTCGCAGGGTCGCGGAGCTCTTCGAGCGTGCCGGAAGAACTCGGCGCAAGTGGTTCGGAGACCGGGGCTCGTGCGGCGGCGGACAGCTCCCCGAGGTGGACGAGCGCAGTGGCCCTCGCAGCTCGAGCTTCGACCTCTGTTCGGGCGGCACGCGCAGCGTCAGTCTCAGGGGCTCGCACAGCTGCCTCGGCAGCAACGAGAAGGCAGGGGCACTCACCGCGACGGAAGAGCTCACAGCTGGGGCGCGGTGCAGCAGCATGCGGACGGCGAGGTACAAGAGCTTTCCATCCACGCAACGATGAATAAGCGGAGCTCTCATCCGCAACGAGCTGGAGCCCAGCTCGGAAGGCAGTGCGCAGCGTGCTGCGCACTTGCACCGGCACGCTATGCAGTGTTAGGACGCGCTTGCGAAGCGTGGCCGCGAGATCTATGGCATCAAGCGTTTGCAAGCCGGCTGCGGAGGTCGCCTCAGCGGAGAGCACCCGTCGCTGGGATGCTGTGAGGGATTCGGGCGCGGGCTGTTCTGCTGCCTGCGGTGGGCCAGCGTCCTCCGCATCGGGCAGGGGGTGCGAAGGTGTGCGGCGCCCTCGCCCACGGCCTCCGCGCCGTCCATGTCCTCGGGCACGGCGCTCTCCCTCGACGACGCGCACTGCCGCAGACCTGACGAAATCGCCGCCCCGCTCGCCGTCACCACCATCGACCAATGGCGGCGGAGAGCCACGAGGGGAGTTCTCGCCATGGCAGACTGGCGGGGCAGCCGGTACTTTTTTTTTTTTACGCGCCTCTTTTCGAACAGTGACCGCGGTCCCAGTGCACGTTTCAGCTGCGAGCTACGGGAGGGTTCAAGGCGCCGGCAGCGGGGGGCCGCCGCGGACCTCTGCGAGGATTTCGTGGAGGTCAGGCGCCGCACCCGCATCGCAAACGTCACCACCAGGCAGCTCGAGGAGGGACGCCGCAAAGGCACGCATGGCAGCGACAGCAAGGAGGCCGGACCAACGTTGGACCCAGCCTGCGCAAGCAGCAGCTCGGAGGAGGGGTGGAAGGCTGGCCGCACGGTGCTGGGCAAGGTGACGGAGGAAGGAGGCAGCTTCAGCACCGAAGCGCCCGCCGACCTCAACCCCGAAAACGACGAGACGGGCCCGCCGCGCGCCAGCGAGCTCGGGGTACGTTTGGCGCCGCTTGCGGCGCGCGGCGGCCTGGACGGCAGCGCCAGGGCGCTCGGCGGCGCCCGGCTGCGGCTCCCTGCTCCGCGTGACAGGACTGACGATCGTGGCGTCAAGCGCGAGCTGCGCCCCGTGCCAGAGGGGCAGGCCGCTTGCGACGACCTCAATGCGACGCGCGTCACTGACGGGAACATCGATGTTCATGTCAGCAAGCCGGACGTTGCGTGCAACCCGCGCGCCGCCTTCCCGGCACACACGGGCGACCGCATGCTCGAGCGGAAGGGCTCGCGTCGCCAACACTCCGGAGGTGGCACAAGCGGCGCGGTGGTCACCAAGCGGGTCGAGGCGGCCCCGGCAGCGGCAGGTGCGCGGCGTCAGGGGCAGTGGCAGACGGAGCCGCCGCAGAAGGAGCACGCGGAGGTGTTCGGGGGGCAGGGTGACAGCCGGTGACGTGGGGAGGACGGTGAGGGCACGGCCTGAGTGGGGTCCAGCTTGCGAAAGCAGCAGCGCTCGGGACGCAGGGTTGAGGTGAGAAAGGTGCGTCTCAAGCGCGCGCTCGTTGCAAGCTGCCACGGCAGCCCTCTGCCAGCCACGCAGGTGGCCGTCCCCGTGCGGGGGTTGCGGTGCGGCAGGCGCGGCCGCAGCGCTCCAGTCGGGTACGGGAAAGCCGGCCTCACGTACTCGCGCCGCAGCCGTGCAAGCGGCGGCGAGGGCCGGCGGCATGCCAGCGTGAGGCGCACGAAGGCTGGCTTGCAACTGCGCAGCGTCGGCAGGGAAACGCTGGAGCAGTGCAGGGAAGGTGTCCTGCCACGAGGCCCAATAGGCGGCCGCGGCACCGGAGGTGGCAGAACGCAGACCCAGGCCCCCTAACCCGGGGCATCATTTCGCAGCTCGGGTGCTTCCTCCCCGTAGAGCAAGGTGCGGAGACACAGGGCGACGGCACGATCATGTTCGCGGGAGTAATCGGCCGTGCAGTGCAGCATGCGGAGGAGGTAGTTGGCGCCTGGCGCGGGGGGACGCGCAGTAAAGTAGCAGCAACCAGGCTGCCTGCAGGTCGCCGAGGGCGGGAATGCGCTCGAGGAGGACCTCCTGGCTGCGGCGCCGGTCCCGCAGTGCCGAGCGGCGCACCGAGCACGACGAGCCCTTGGCGCTCTGCAGGCAAGGTCCAAGCACCGACCCACACGTCAGTGGCAAGGCTGGGGTCCGGTTGGAGTGCAGCGAGGTTCGGCGGTTCCTCTCCAGCTGCGTTCCAGACACGGGTCTTGCCCTGGTTGAGCTGGACTCGAGCATGGTCCCAAAGGGCGGCGGCGAGGGTACCGTACAAGGTGGCGACGCGCTCAGGGGGGCAAACGATGTAGGTATCATCGAGGAAGGCGAACACGCCTTCGCTTGGCTGCAGTGTGGACGCGACAGCATGAAGGGCAGCGTGCTGTGCCACCGCATAGAGCGCGGGCATGAGGGGGTCGCCTTGCTCGCCGCCCTCGGCTTGCAAGATCTCGTGCTCGGTGCCCGTGTCGTCAGTCCAGACGTAGCTGCTCTCGGTGCCATAGAACTGGCGAGCGAACGGCAGGAGCGGGGCAAGCTGAGGTCGCGAGCGCAGCCCTTCGAGCATGGCCTGTCGAGAAACGTGGTCGAACGCTCCTACGGCGTCGACCGACAGGACTGTGGTGCGGGGATTGCACTCGGTGGCGACCTGGAGGAGCTTGTACAGCGCCTCAGTGCCCGCACGCGTGCTCAGGCCGAACTGATATGGCATGCATGCCGCCTGGAGGGCCTCCGCGAAGTGCTGTGCCAAGGCTCGGGCGACGAGGCGGCGAAAAACATCCCCGACGACGAGCGCACGCACCCGGCCGTTCGGCTTCCGGAGCGCTACGATTCGTCCAAGGCGTGCGGCTGCCAAGACAGGCGCCGGCACGTCAGCGTTGGCGAACCGAAGTGCTGCCTGGTGGAGCAAGGTGAAGTCGTCGGGGTCGTCCAGCAGCAAGCGCAGGTGCTCATTAGTCATGCCTGAAGGGCCTGCGGCCGAGCCTCGCCGGGCCGCGCGCAGGTTGGCCAGCAGGAGCGTGTCTGGCATGGGGCATGGCTCCGCGACATGGTTGAGCACCTCCGGGCTGAGTGGCACGACTGCAGTGTTTGAGGTCGGCGGCTGGGGTCCCGAAGTTCAGCGAGCGTAGATTGGTTGCCGGCGGCGAGTGGCTCAGCAGTGAGGGCCCGACTCGCTGCAGAGAGTTCCCCCAAGTGGACGAGCGCGGTGGCGCGCGCCGCTCGACGTTCCGGGTCGGCCCCGTCAGCAGGTGAGCGCGGGGTAGGCCGCGCGGGAGGTGCGGCGCAGGCTGCGCGGAGAAGCGAGGGCCAGTCGCCGCGGCGGAAAGCGTCCGCACGCCGCTCGAGCTCGGCGGGCTCGATGCGCGATTGGCCGGGCTCGCGGTGCAGCAGCATGCGGGGTGCCAAGAAAAAGAGTTTCCAGCCACGGGTTGTGTCGTCCGGCCCGGGGCCTGCCACGGCCTGCTCCAACCCCGTCCGCAGCGCATAACGGAGAATGCCTCGGAGTTGGGTCGGAGTGCTCTGGAGTGTGAGTGTCCGACGGCGCAACTCAAAGGCGAGATCAATGTCGTCGAGCTGCTCGAGGCCGAAGCGCACGCCTGTGGAAGCAGCGCCAACCCGTTGCTCCGCCTGCGTCGGAGCTGCGGCGGCCGTGCAAGGGGCGCCTGCAGGCAACGGAGGCTCTGGGATCCTGTGTCCGCGTGCTGCTCTGCGGCCGCGACGCCCTCCGCCTCGCCCACGCCTTTGCTGGGCAGCGCCCGGGGCGCGCTCCGAAACAACGGCAGCGACCTCGTCGTCGGGCGAGTCGAGGCCATCGTCACCGTCAGACTGCCGCGCACCGAGGGCTGCAGCGGGACGCGGGCCAGCGGGTGCAGGAGGGACCGGCGCCTCGTCGTCGCGGCGAAAGGCATCAGAAAAGCGGTCGAGGTTCGCAGCAAAACTAAGCCCCCCATACAGTTGCAAACACACTTCCTGCGCTGCTGCATGGATGTAGCCTTCGGCAGAAGCGAGCTGACGAACAACCCAACCTAAATGCAGCTCAGCGCCGGAGGGCAGGGCCTGGGCTGCAGCGAAGATGTTTTGGGGAGGCGGAGTGTGGTGCCGGGCAGCTGCCTCGCGAAGGGCATCGAGGAGCAGGGCGGCCGCAACCGGAGCCGAACGAAGGAGCGTGTGGCGTGCTTCACCCCACCAGGGCTGGCAGCGCTCCTCACGGCTCCATGCTTCGACGGCTCGCGGGGACAGGGTGCCGCACGCGGCGTGCAGAAGCGGCACGAACAACCAGGAGTTTGTGGCTGAGTGCGGGTTCCCTGCTGGCGGGCCGACTTCGTACCACGACCCGCGCACGGGGGCTGGATCGCTGGCAGGCGCAGCGGGGAGTCCGGCGAGCGCCTCGGGTGCCCCGGCGATCGGCTGGGGTTGCCGTCCGCAAGCGCAGCACAAACAGCCCGTGCGAGCTGTGGCGTCGAACTCCCAACTCCGAGGCCGGCGACAGTCGGCACAGGGCGCGCCAGCGTCTGCAGGCACCGCAGCCTCTTCCCAGTCCAGCACTCGCGAGCAGCGCGGGCAAGCCCACGACAGTCGCCATGCCATGATGCCGGTGTCGCCGCGGACGGCGATGGGTGACCACTGCATTCTCCTGTCCGGGAGCTCAACGAAGTTGATTTCCCCTTCGTCCCCACGCACGGCTGCGACTCGGCGGCAGCAGAGCACGCGCACATGAGTTGGTGGCTGAGGTTCGGGCGCATCGTTGGATGTGAATGTGCGGATCGTGTAGTCCGCGATGCCCGGGCGCACGGTGGAAGGGGCGGGCAGCCGTGTGGGCGCCTCGATCCCCCGTGCCGCACAAGCCGCTCGCAACCATTGGTCGTCGGCATCGGCCCAGCCTCCCGCAGCGCAGACCGGGCAGTGCATGTCTGCTGGAGCATCGGCTTGGGCCCGCTGCTGCGCAAGACACGCGAGGTGCAAGCGGTGGCGGGCGCACGTCGGGTGGAGGACTGCAGATGCCTCGCCGGTGGTTGTGGGGTCGATGGGGTCCAGGCAGATCGCACACAAGTCCGCCTCTGGGACAGCAGGCGGCGTGTTGAGGGAGATGTCGGACTCCCGCGGAGTGTTGGGGGGCGTGTCGTCCAGCACTGTAACGACGGACGCTGCGCCGCGCGCGTCGCCCCCGCCGGTGGCTGCCGAGGCAGGCGCACCGCCGGCGGGCACGGCGTGGGCAGTGAGGTGGCGGCGGGCAGCTGGAGAGGCATCGCGCGAACGCCTGGGCATGGACATGCGGATGCGTAGCGGCGGGCAAATGCGCTGGCAAGTGCTACGGAACCCTCTTTTTGTAGCGCGGTTCGGGCACGCAGGTGGGCAGAGTCTGCCCAAAAGCCTGAACCAACTAAAGCTGGGACTCAGATGCAGGCGGTGGTGGCCTGACAGAACAAAACGTGCAGTATGCAGCAATTGCTGAGGGCCCGACCTGAGCGGCAGCTAGCAACCAAGGTCGAAGTATGAGCGAAGTACCTTGGCCCGGAGGCCGCGGCTGCCCGAGGGAGCGCCAGCGGCCGACAGACTGAGGAACGATTGTTGCTTTCGCGGTTGAGGCCCGCGGCTCGGCGGCCGCGGCAGCAGCCTGATGGCTGTGTGCTGTGCCAGCGGCCGGCGTCGCCACCTGAGCCCAATGCGGCGGCAGCCCGGAGGCGCAAACAACCGAAATTGAGCTGGCAGTTGCTCAGGTGGCCCCCAAGGGGCCCGGCTTGACGTAAATTGGAAATATAAAAAACTGCCAGCACGACCTGACAGGGAAAGAGCTGAATGAACAGGACAGCCTGCGGCAGCCTGGAGGCGCCAGCGGCCGGCCTTTCAACCTGGACACTTGATCACTGGCAGAAAACGGCAATGCGAAACGCACGGGAAAGGCTGAGGCCCAGACCAGGAGCGCAGCCAATGGCAGCCGAGGGGCGCCAACAGCTAGCGCTAGCGCTTTACACTCCGAACGGCCTCGCTGTCGCCGCAAACGGGGACGAGTGCAGCCAGGGAGGGAGAAGCTGAGGGACCGGCTGTGCCAGGAAAGGCGACGGTCCCGCCACTTGCGGCTGGCAGAAGCGGAGAAAGGGAGAGGGACCTCCACCAAAGCACTGAACGGTTGAGCGGCGCCTGTGGCCGAAGGGCGAGGGGCCGCTCGGCTGTGGGGCAGGTGGAGGGGGCGGGGTGGGCCGGCGCTGGGCTCGCTCGTGGACCTGGGCCCCGGCGCGTCGCCCTCGGTGTGTCTTCTTGCGAGGCCGGCTTGGCTCGGCAGCCACGGGGCGCGCGCGAGCGGGAGGAGGGGAAGGTGGGCGGCGGCGCTCTGGCGGGGGACTGCCGCGCGGGCTGCGCGAAACGCTGCGGGAAGCAGGGCTGCCTGAGCGGCGCTCACTGCCGCTGGGAGAAGCAGGCCGCTCCTGCCCCGGTTCTTGCACCTGTCCACCAGCAGTCTCCCAGTCCTGAACGCGAATGAGAAGGTAGCCTTCGTGGAGCACAGCAGGCAACACAACGTTTGGCAAGGACGCACGGACGGACGACATGAAGGGAAGCCCCCCCAGCTAGCAGAACCTGGCTTGAATGTGTCTTCCAGCGGCGGAGGCTGCGCATCACTCCGCTGGCGCACAGCTGCAGGCGCAGCAGAGGTGCCGAGGTCGACTTGTGGGTGCAGGCCAGGCATCTCGAAGGGCTGGGCACGAAGCGTCTCGATGAGTCGTGCAAAAGTGGCGACGGCCTGCGGGCCCACTAGGAGGGTAAGCAGTGCCTCTTGCAGTGGCGCGGCGATGTGGTGGCCCTCGGGTGCGACGGCTATCCCGCGAAGCAGCTCCGAAAGGGATACAAGTTGACCAGCCCGTGCTCCAACCCAGGCCCGGAAACGTTGAACCGAGGGCGATTGCAAGACCGGGGGCGCGAAAGCTGTCGCGGTGCAGCAGGCAGTCGCCAGCATGGCTCTGGGCAGCAGCTGGCTACAGCCGCTGCAGCCGGAGGCCCACGCACGCCCACCGCTCGACGGCATCCTTCGCGACCCTCGCCGGCTCCTTGCTGGAGCTCCCTCTCGACACCGCCGCCTCTGCTGCCGGCGAGCCGGCTTGGCACGAGGTCTTGCAGGACGAGCGCTGGCTGCACGCCCCAGCCCTCAGCCGGCTCCCGCTGCGGACCAAGGCGAACGCCACCACGTAGACTGCAGCTGCACAGGGACCGCGCTCGTACTGGTCGCAAAAAGTGTGCGTGAGAAAAAAAAAAAAACATGTTCCACCAACGCCGCGTCCAAGCCGCGGTAGCTGTCGCGCGATAGGCAGGCGGGGTGCGGCAGGCCTTCAGGTGCAGTGCGACATCCCGCACGAACCGGCGAGCCTGAGCATTCCAGCGGCCGCCGACCTCCAAGCCGAGCACGACGAGCGTCTGCGGCTCGCATGAGCTCCGGGTATGCCGCATGCTTGCTTTGCGGCGCTCAGCATCGCAGTGCGGCTCCGTCGACAGCTGCAGCACACGCGCCGCGGCTGAGCGCCGAATACACGGCAAGGTCCAGCCGGCGGCTGCGCGCCAACATTCGAGGCGGTGGTGCGGGCCAGCCACCTCTGTGGAACGACCTGGCCGTCGGACCTCGCCGCTTCCCGGGAAACACGCGCCTCGTCCACGAACTTGGCCCGCCCGGCGAGGAGTCCAGTGCGCGGGCATGCGAGTGCGTGATCGCTGAAGCGGTTTACTGTCCCCCCACAGCCGTGCGGTGGCCCACAAAAGCTGCTATGCAACGGCAGAGGCTGTCGCAAGCGACGCCTCAAGGCGATCTGCATAGCGTGCGGTGGGAACGTTGTTGCCGGCTCCGTCGGGATCGCTGCGCTCCTTCCAAGAGGGTGCGCCATGCGGGGCAGGCTCGCAAACCGCTTCTTGCAGAAGGTCCCTCGCTTCTTATAGCGCCTCGCGCAGAGAAGGCACACCACCCACGAATTGAAACCTTAGTTACGGGCCTTGCCCACGGAGAATAGGAGAGTAGGAAAGTAGGAGAATAGGAGAATAGGAGTAGGAGAGTGGGAGCAAGAGAATAAAAGTAGGAGAGTAGGACTAGTAACCCCAGCCTCAGGCCCCAGCCCCAGCCTGGAGGGCGCACGCGAAAGCATTTCATTTTCGTGCGGGGGGGCGGCAGGAACATGATCATGGAAGCATGAAGAGCAGCAGCACTGCCTAAAAAAATAATGGTGGTTGTTGGGGAGGGGACGGGAAGGAGGGCAAAGGGAAGAGAGAGAGGGGAGGGGAGGGGAGGGGAGGGGAGGGGGGGGAGGGGAGGGGAGGGGCGAGGGGGAGGGGAGGGGGAGGGGGGGGGGCGAAGGGGAGGGGGAGAGGGGAGGAGCGCGCAGCGCCTGGAAGGGAGGGGAAGGGAGGGGAGGGGGGGGAGGGGGAGGGGTAGGGGCGGGGGAGAGGAGGGAAGGGAGGCGCACAGGAAAATAACAATAATAGTTGGGGGGGGCGAAGTGGCAGGGTTGTTGGAGGGGAGGAGGGGAGAGGGGAGAGGGGAGAGGGGAGAGGGGAGAGGGGAAAGGGGAGAGGGGAGAGCGGAGAGGGGGAGAGGGGGAGAGGGGAGAGGGACGCACAGTGCCTAGAAAAACAAGGAATTGAACGGTTTTGGAGGGGATGGGAAGGAGGGCAGAGGGGAGAGAGGGGAGGGGAGGAGCGGGGAGGGGAAGGGTTTGCGGGGCAGGAGGAGGTGGAAGGGGAGGAAAGACGGGGAGGGGAGTGCTTGGACGTGGCAAACACTAGGGGAGGGGGAGGGGAAGGGGTGGGGGAGGGAGTATGTTTATTTCAATTGTTATTGCCTCCCGACGGCCAGACTTACTATTGCGTGTAAGGATGGGCAAGCAAGACCTCCCACAAGCCAGATTAATTATTACGTGTAGGGATGGGGCAAGCAAGGAGAGGGACCTCCCCCAGAGGAGCATTTTCATTATTCTCGTGTTCTTTTTTTTCCCAGGAGGGGTGGGGGAGGGAGTATGTTTATTTAAATTGTTATCGCCTCCCCCCGGCCAGAGTAACTATTACGCTTAGAGCCTCCCGCGGCCAGATTTACCATTACGTGTAGGGATGGAGCAAGCAAGGAGAAGAGGAGCATCGTCATTATTCTCGTATTCATTTTTTTTCCCCAAAAGGATGGGGGAGGGAGTATGTTTATTTTAATTGTTATCGCCTCCCCCCGGCCAGATTAACTATTACGTTTAGCGATGGTGCAAGCAAGGAGAGGGACCCCCCCCAACAGGAGCATTATTATTATTTTCGTGTATTCTTCAACGAAGAGCAACAAAATAATAATAATACTGGCCGAAATGGGGGGGGCACGAAAAAAATAATACAGGCCTGCGGGAGGCTTCCCATTATTTGTTCGCGTGCTTCCTGCCAGCCCCTGCGCCACCTATGCCACCTTCCAGCGCCTCCAATCGAGCACCAGCCCTGTGGCAGCTCCCCGAAACAGCGCGGGAGCTCGCAGCGCGCAGGCGAACGAGCTGCGCGATGAGGAAGAGCGATTCGTCATTCCACTGCCCCCCGGTCTGTGGTCTCCGGCCCACCCATGCCCACCCTTAACAAGCGCTCGCCCGCCGCCCGCCCGTGGGGCCGTTGGCCAATTTGCGGGCTCCATGAATGCTCCATGGGCGCACTCTTCTTCGTCGTCGAGCCCGCAGGTGCTTGGGATCCTTTTTGAGGTGCGCCATGAGCCGGTGCGGGCATGGCTCAACGGGCCTTGCTGGATGCGACGAACGCTTGGGACTCGCCCCTAGGACTATGGCGTTCCTAATCTCCTAAAGTTGGGGTGGGCTTTGACACCTTTCTACGTACATTACAACATGCGGTTTTTTTCCCATACTTTTTTGCGACTCCGAGTTAAGGCGGGTCTAGATCCCGGTGCCCACAGCAGTCTACGGCGGTGGGACGTGCTTCACGCACGGGCAGGGAGGCGGCGAGGCTCAGGAGCCTCCTGCCAGCGAGCGTCTGCAAGGAGCTCGTGCAAGGAGCTGGTGGCGGGCCAACAGCACCGAGCTCCAACTGGAGGGGGAGTGAGTTCCAGGAAGGTGGCAGCGAGCGCACGCTGCGCTGCAACGGAGATGAAGCCACTCCAGCGCAGAAACCAGGCGGCGCGGACCGCAGCGGGGGCACTGGCTGCACGCGCCCGGGCAAGGAGGCGGAGAAAGGTAGCAGCTTCCTAAACCCAGCGTCCGCCAACCTCGAGTCCGAAAACGACGAGGCGACAGCGTCGGCTACGGTCGATCTCAAGGTACGTTTGCCGGCGTTTGCCCAACCCGGGCGGTGGTCGGCTCCGTCGTGTGGGCGGCCTCGAATCACCTGGCTGACGAGCGTGGCGTCAACGGCAAGTTGTGCGCCGTGCCAAAGCGGCAAGCCGTTGCAGACCTCGATGTGCCGCGCAATGCCGCGCATCGTGAACCGGCACGTCAAGGTTCATGGCGGCCAGCACGACGTTGCGCCCGACACGCGCCCCGGCTTCCTGGCAGACGCGGGCGATGGCGCGTTCGAGGGGTAATACTCGGGAAGCGAGCACGCCCGATGTGGAGCAGGCAGCTCGATGGTCTCCGTACACATCGAGCACGCCGCGACAGGAGCAGCTGCGCGGGCCAAGCGGGAGGGGCATGCGCAGGCGGTGCAGAAGCAGTACGTGGAAGTGTGCGTCGAGTATAGCAACATCATCCAATATGGGCAATACCGTGAAGGCTCGGGCCGCGTGAGGACCAGCATGGACCAGCTTGCGAAGCAGCAGCGCCCGGGACGCAGGGGACAAGTCAGCAAGGTGCGTCTCGAGCGCGCGCTCATCGCAAGCATGGGAGGCTCTGTGCTGCCATCCGCGCAGGAAGTCGGCAGGCTCGTCACGTCGGAAGTGCGGGCCCGGCACATTGGAGATGGCTTCTTCCCAAGACGGCACGGCGTAGCCTTGCGTGGTTAAGTAAGCCGCTGCCTGTGTTGCTGCCAAGAGCGAGGGCAGCGGTGCGTCCGCAAGGCCCAAGAGGGCTGAGAGACAGCTACGGCTGCGTCATGCGAGGAAGCATAGGCTGCTGTGGTGGCAGGGGGCGAAGAACGCAGGAGGTACTTGGCCCGTGGAGCAGCACTGTAATGCAGCAATAGCCACGCCGCCGGCAAGTCTTCGACACACGGGATGCGTTGCAGGAGGCGTTCGTGTTCTTGGCGTTTGAATGCCAAGCGCTGTTGGACGTAGGCGTCGCTGCCGAAAGACGTGCCGAGGACAGTGAGCCCCTGTTGGGTTGGCGGGAGCGTCCAAATCCCCTACCCAAACAGCGGTGTCAGCCTCGCCCTGTAGCGCTGCAATGCCCGGTGGCTCCTCGCCTGCCGAGTTCCAAACTCGCTTTTTCGACTGTTGAGCTCGATGCGCGCGTGGGCCCATACAGCCCGGTGGTACGCCAAGTAATGTTCGTGGATCCGCGCCGGGGTAGCGATGATGTACGTGTCGTCGAGATACGCAAAGATGGCCTCCCCGTCCCGCAGCTGCCCCTGCACCTCGTCAAGCGCGGAGTTTTGAGCAAGCGAGAACAGGGCGGGCATCAGCGGACCTCCTTGTTCTCCACCTTCAGCTTGCGCGATGCAATGGGAAGCCCCTTGCCCATCAATCCATGTGTAAAGTGCTGGCCGCACCGTAGAACTGCCGAGCGTAAGGGAGGAGCGGCCGGAGCTCTGGGCGGGCATGCAGGGCCGCCAGCATACAAACAGGATGGTTGCTCGAGGGTCGACCTCAGTTGCAGCCCTTAAGACGCGTGGCAAAGCTTCAGCGCCAGCGCGAGTGCTGAGGCCGTACTGGTAAAACAGGCGGGCAGTCTCGAGTCGCCGCGCGAAGGCTCGCGCGAGCGCCCGCCCAACCAGCCGTCGCAAAACGTCGCCTATCACAAGGGCGCGGATGCCGCCGCGTCCATGCGGCAGCGGAAGGTGTCCTCCAGGCAAATGTCATCCATGGAAGCTAAGCCGATGCGCATTCTTCTGCCGCGGCCACTCGGCGTTGCGCGGCAGTGCCTTCTCGATTGAGGTTGGCGTCATCCGCGGCAGTGTTTGCTTCGGGCGGGGGAGCTGGACGGTTCTCATCCTCCAGCCTGCGTCCGCGTCCGCGTCCGCCAAACCGGCCTCTGCCGTTAGCACGGGAGTGGGTTGCAGTTTGCGCGGCGAGCCGGGCTAAGCTGGTGTCACTGTCAGCATCTCGCGATGCGTCGTCGTCTGGCAGGGCCGGGTCGCGCTTGTCAGAGTGTGCGCGTGCAAGCTCTGCAGGCTGCCCGGGCGGCGCAGAGCCGGCTGGCGGGTGCGGCAGCGCCCCCTGCAGAGACTGCATGGCAGGGAGGACGGCAGGAATCGCATCGGCGGCTGGCACAACCTCCGGGTGTGCGCGCCAGCTGCTGATGGCTCGCTAAAGGTCCATGGCACGCGGTTCCCCCAACCACACGATCAGCAGGGCTGCATGTTGTAACGAAAACCTCCTGGAAGATTGGTTTGCCGTCTTCCCGACTTGGGGTGAGTCTTTTTGTGTACTGTGTCATGCGTTGCATCCACACATTTAGGGCCGTTTACAGTCTCCTATACGTGCCCCAAGCGCGCCGCATTCTCTAAAGTCGACCTTTCGTGGCGTTTACAATCTTCTAGTGGGGGTCCCCGAGTACGCGCATGTACACGCTACATCTCACACCGCCAGGGCCAGGGCTGTTCGCATTACGCGAGCTCGCCTGCACCCACCGGAGCGGCTCTGCTCACTCCTCACACCGCGCGCCTGGCCACCCCCCCCTGCGAATCTCAAGTCCTTCATATATCGAACAGAAGGGGCCCTCCTTGCCAAGTTATCCAAGAAAAAATGTAGACAACAACTCCCGCAAGCTCCAAGGAGCTAGCTTTGGTGAATGCATGTTGGACCACATCTATCAGATGCAGATTCGGAGCGATCTAGGCCGACATACAACAATCACGGTCGGACCAGCACCGAGTTACAGCCACACGGCATATACACAGTTCGGACGCTGACTCCCAGACGTTGCAGCAGGCTGCACAGTTGTTCGAGGTGGGACAGTTCTCACAACGGCTGCAGCACTGACATTATATAGGGGCTGGACAAGTTGACAACTCAACGGGGGAAGATGTTCCTTTGTCTCAAGAAATCGTAAAACGCAAGGGTCCCGAGTGGGATACAAGCGCTGTTCACAAAGCTATTCGCAAGGAGGCGACAAACCACACGTCAAAGTGGACTTGGGGGTCTGAAGTAGAATGGAAAAGTGCGGTGCCTGACGTGAAGTATGAGGCCCCGATCGAGGAAGGATTGCGGAACGCCGAACATAAGAGGACATGGGTTTGAGAAAAGCGAAAGCAAGCTGCCAAGTTCTGCGTTCCAACCTTGAGTGAGTGCATACCGACAACGAGTAACAAATCGTCAACCACATGTAAGTGCTTGCGGGCATTCGTCCGTCCGCCGCCGCTGCTGCAGGAACACGCCCACACCCCCACATGCCCATTCCCCAGCGTCGTGCGACCCTAAACGTTACCTAACAGAGAAACGATAGGATAGGATGTGGGGAAAGAGACACTGCTACGCAAAGCACGTCTTTTGGAAACTTACAAGGTGCGGATGCATGGTGCCAAATTCGCTAATTCTCGTGCAGCCACATTCATCACCTAGCCGCCGCATCAGATCTGCTCTTCTTTCAGGGTCTCAGCAGCTTGCGACCAGTCGAGGCAGCGGAGCTGAGCTTGTCGATGTCTTCGGATGCCAGCTCGAAGATGTTCCCAGCTCTTCTTCTCCATCTTGCACTGCATCTCGCGATGGGGCAACAGGGAGCATAGAGCTCGCCACTTTGCCTGGCAGCTCTCCGTCTCGCAGCGGGCTACCCAAGTTGTGCATTGTTGGACTTGTGAAGAAAACGATACACGAAGCTGCAAACGTCCTGCATCCGCAGATCCCGGAGGAGCACGGATTTCCCTCAGCGCATGTCAGACTGGTGCTGCCTGCAGGCAATTGCATGCTCTCTCAGGCATGCAGATGGAGCAAACATTAAAACAAAAACTGTGCAAACGAACCTACTTTCTACAGTGGCCTTTGTCAATGGCTTCAGTTGGCGCACGAAGTCGGCGAATGACACGGTTGCGTTGCCTCGGCAACTCAGCGGGTTCGCGGATTCCGCTCTAGCAATTGAACGTCAGCTCACGGGCTCTTTTTGCGTCCTTCTACGCCGCCTCAGCGCTCGTTTCAGCGCCAAGGACTTTCTGCGTGTGCATGCCTCCCAAAATCGGAGGCACAGAGGAAATGTTGAAAGAAACGAAGTCTAACGCATGTTTCTGCGCATGGACATTACATTTATGTACAACAGGAAAGCAAAGGAGCTCTCAAAAAAGACAGCACTCAGAAACTGCCACATTTCAGGCAGTCCAGCACAGGCATGAGATGCTCACTGAATGCCGACGAGCTTGCCGATGCTCTTATCGTTGCCCCGCGCAAGCATGCGGGAGTAATTCTCCAGCATTACGTCCTCCATGCTGCGCTAGACTCTAGACAGCAGGGACTCGGATTATGTCAGCTTATAATCATAGATTTTTGCTTAGCCACATATCGCTCCGGATTGCGACCTGCGCCAGCAAGCGCTTCCGCTTCTGTATTGAGTGCAGCTGTCGATCCGACTGATGCAAGGCTCGGGATGGGAACTCAACCCGGCCTCTGCTGGATACAGGACGCGGTTGACATGCACGCCCAGGTCTGGTGGAGTACCTCAGCCGGCTGACAGGGACTGCAGGTCAACGAGAATCGCGGCAGCAAACAGGGCAACAGACATCATGCAAGTCGGCTCCTCAAAATGCATAGTGGGCGACGGCAAGTAAGATTAAGTAGGAAGTCTGGTCTGGTTTTAGACAGGAAGCTCGCGTGCTGCAACAGCAGTGCTGATGCCTGTTTCACACTGGTCCAGACTGTCTCAACATCACACTTGCCGATCGTCGCACATGCGATTGCAATAAGAGTTGCAAGCGGGCGACCATACCTCTTTGCCGACATTGGCCTTTCATGCTGAGCCTCTTCACGCTCTTTGGCCTCTTGCGCGTGATGGTACACATGCCCATCGGTTCCTTAGCATTTAACACAAAGCTCACCAAGTACGGCAAACTTTCCACAAGCAGCTGACGCCAAAAATGCTCTCGAGGTGCCTATCGTACCACGACCAGGAGATTGGGATCTATCTTTAAAGCATGAGATGCAGTTCCTTGTTGTTCCAGCTGCCACCATTTCATCATTGGTATCCAGCATCAGAACCTTCTGCCCCAGGCTGTGCCGCATGTTTTCGAGGGCAGATTCCACGAGGTCATTCAACCTTGTCGCCAAACCAGTGTTCAATGAAGTGCATACTTAGCCGACTTTCAATCACCCAAAAATCTCTCCAACAGTTGAAGCCAAGACAAGCAGCTGCGTGCGGAACCTCGAAACGACCTTGTCCAACTCCTGGCGGGTCTGCTCCTGCTTCTCTCGGAGCTCCGCAGACAGTTCCTTCCGGCAGCTTGGAAGCCCTGTCTTGTGTTTGGCTGTATATGACTCTTTGGGGTGCGTGAATCTGGGCTTTCTCATGTCGCAGGGCTTAGGGCCACCTACAACCTGTTGCAATGCTTACAGCTACTGCAACAACAAAAGCAACATAAAGTACAACTGCTCCTCCTTCTCCCAGGATCGCCTAACAGTAGCCCGATTATACCAACAGTTAATACTCAACGAAAATACTGCAAATAACAATAAAACTTCTGCTGATATTTCTGCTGCTTCCACTGCTGCTACTTCTCCTGCTGCTTTTGCTACTACTGCTGCTGCCTTTGCTACGACTGCTGTTGTTGCTGCTACCGATGCTGCTGCAAAGGATGTGGCGAAACTGCTACGATGCTTGTAGACGTCTGTAACCAGAAGGACGGCAAGTCAGGCCGCGCGCCTGTTGGGGGGGAGCATCATAAAACTCCAAAGATTCATAGTAGCCAGGATAGAGCATCAGTGCCGTCCCGGCGGATCTCGCAAGCACATGAACAGTAGCAGTAAATGATAACAAGAAGAAGAATAGTAGCAATCATAAAAATATTCATAATCACAATAATAACGGTAATGGAAATACTAGTCGTTGATAAACATAGAAACTAGAACAGTAATCATCAGTTAGTAATGCTACCTACGACTACGACTGGACGAGGTCTACGGCGATACTACAGCTTCCGCAGCCGCTGTTTCTGCAGTAGGTCGTTGCAGTGATGCGGAAACTGGTGGTGACTATAGTTGTGATTATCACGATGACCAGCGCGATGCAGATGCAGATGATGATGATGATGATGATGAGTGTTGTTGTTGTTGATGCTGATGATGCCGATATTGCCGATGCTGCTGATGACGCGAATGATGCTGATGATGTTGATGATGCTGATGGTGCTGATGGTGCTGGTGATGCTGATGATGCTGATGCTGGCAATGATGGTGAGGAGGAGGAGGAGGAGGAGGAGGAGGAGGACGAGGCCCTCTTGCTGCGAATTTAGACGGTGTCCTGCATCTCATCGAAAAGCCTTGCAAGGAAAGTGCAGGGCATCTGTCACATGCCGGCGGCCAGCTCCTGCCTCCGCTCCATTCTGCGCACTGCTGCGTCCATCTCTTCCTTCATGCTGCTGAGGTCAAGCTTCTGGAGTGAATTGAAAGCTTCTTGCATTTTGACTTTCCTGAGCATGCCGGGACTTTCGACGAAAGTTGCGGCAAGGAAAGACCTGCTTGTCGTTGCCGAGCTGCAGGTCTTCGATATCGGAACCATGTTCCTCCACCACCTGGAGCCCGATAGCGACTCAGCACAGCAAGAACCTCTCTCCACGGTCAGCGCCTCGCCGAGCTGGTCCACTTTGCCACCAGTCTCCGCAAATCGCATGTCCACCGAACGTCCCAGGCCCTGAATCACACGCAGGGAGACACACCATGATTGTCGATCTCAGGTGCTTGGATCGTCTCAGCTGCGGGCGTTCAGTCGAGCTTGCAGCAGCTCAAAGTCGTGTGCATTTTGCTGGGTGGCCTTTCTCAGCTGGGCAGCAGAGGTGCCAACCGCAACTCAAAGCTCAGCCGAGCATGGGCTCAGCATTGATGTCCTCGTGCATCTCGCGAATGCACCCCTCCGTTTCTTCGATTCGTGCCTCCTGCAAGCAAAAAGTCATTGAAGGCCATGGCTACTGAACAGCACTGCCACCGCATGCCACCGCTAAGCTATTGACGCAGCGGCTGATGCCCTGTCTGAGATCGTTCATGCAGCTCTCCCATCCTTGCTTCACGGTGCTTGCATTGGATGTGCACAAAGCAATCCGTCCAATCAAGCTTTGCCGTTCATCGGTGTCTTGCTTTGTGGAAACTTCAAGCTACCCAATGTTTCGCCGAAGACACGGAGTGATCTTGGACTTGGACAGTTGGCTCCATCAACGCCCGGAATCTCGTCATTCAACAGCGCGTCTACTTCCAGCTCCAATTTGTCGATGCGAGCCACCAAGCCCTCCAGCACAGGAATCCATCCGACCGCACAAAAAAAAGAAACCGGCATTGACACCCGCCTGCTTTGGCAAGTCAAGATGTCGTTCGTTCTGAAGCTCCGCAAGCGAGGCTTCTGACAGTCGCAGTCGAGCGAGGATGGCCTCCAACAGGCCTGACATCAGGCCAACCGAATCCTGTCTCACTCGCCTGGTTAAACCATGTCAAAGCCTATTCAGCGCCTGCTGCTGAAAGTCACCCAAAAAATTCTGAAGCTTCACTGTGATCGCCACCTTTCAACGAGGAAGTGTCCACTGCCAGCAGAACATCCGGCACGACGAGGGGAGGCTCCGCAGCCATCCGCCCGACCCGGCGCTTGGAAAACACTTCTGTGGCTACTCAGGGTGGTACTACTGCTGACTGTTGCTGACTCAACCTGGAAGGCTCTTTGGGGCTGCTGCCCTGAACCGAAAGAGCGCTACACGATGTCGCACGCAAGAGCATCGCATCTGGAAGGCTCGAGCTTGACCTTCACCCCGTCACGTCTCGGCCCAGCACCCGGCTGCGCATATCGCCGCCAGATCAGGAACAAATCACGCTCTGATGCTCGAAGCTGGAGGTGTGTCAAGGCACGCCTTGCGACGTGTGGCACAAACACAAACTCCCTCCTTCCACACAGTTCTACTGTCCTGGCCTGAAATCAGGAAGTGTGAAGCCTTGGCGGCCCTGTGCCAAAAAACTGAAGACATCACTCAATGCGGTGATGTCATGGCCTCACCAGCTTGGCACACACGCTGCACAACTAAACGAGGCTCAAATCGTATGCATTCTGCATCGGGGTCCAGGCCAAGGAATTGAGCGAGCCGAAGCCTTCAAGACTGTAACGAAAAACTACCCAAACTCGAAAGCAATTCCAGCATGTCTCGCCTGTCTTTTTCCAGCTCCTGCCAAAAGAGCACCGGAACTCAGTTGGTCTTCCGTCATGTCTGCCCGCGTCCTCAGCAGCAACTGCTGCTGCTGTGATGGTGCGGTGCAGCTGCCCTCGGGCCTGCTGGCCACCAAGGGCTTCTTCTCGCATGAACCGGGTTCTGTGGGTTTGCCGACATCGTGGAATCCGAGACCAAGTAGAGCTTATACAAATACTATGTACCAGCATCTTGACGAGTGCGTCACGGATGAAACCTTGGGAAAAACCTCGGTGAAAAAAACAGTTTTTTCACTGCAGCATCAGGACTACCCACATTTCGCCCAGAAAACCCCGACCAGCAAAGCTGGAAAAAAAACGCAACGGCCCCGCGGCCACCATCCTTGCGGCCAACCCCTGCCGGGGAACAGCCCTTTGGAAGCGAAAATGAAACTCAAGAAGAGCCCCGCACCTATCGTCTTTTGCATTGGGGCACTCGGATTCTAGAAGTTCGGGCTCAATCTCCCGACTTCGTGTCCAAGGTCACGAGGTTCAAGTTCGTGTTCGGCTTTGGGTAATTTGGGGCCGCCCAGCCACCAACCACAAAGACTGCGTCTCCAGTTCCGCGCATCGCTTCAGGTTCACTCGCTGTGACATCCGCCCTGACATCGATTCACTGCCAATGCATGACAGTCCTGCCACACCCTGCCACCACGCAGCAGCCGTAGTTGCACTGTAATATGCAAAGGATCATTATTATCGTATTTTGCAATATCAAGGGCAATCACACTTCTTTACGGGCCTATGGGCAGCGTGTAGAAAGCGAATACGAGATGGTGGCAAAGTTGAACGGCTTACAGCAACGTGACCTATCGCCAGCAAAGACCTGCCCGTGTGCACTTCGCAAGACGGTGCCTGCACGGACAAGCGACTGGCCCCTGTCTCGTCCTCCCAGCCTGGAGACTGAGGTGACCGAACAGCTGATAGGATGCCATCCCATCCCCCTCTCGTATGAGGCCTGAAGACGTGCTACTCACGATCGTGCAGCGGAAAATGGTCCCGCACGAAGGGCACCGAACCTTCGCAAGGCGCACACACGTGGTCGTGCGTACGTTGAGTCGTGATGCCCTCTGCAGCCCCTGCCTCGGGACAGTTCGTGGCATCTGAGTCACGCTGCACCCGAAGCCCACAGGTTGGGCAAGTCTCAGAGTTCCTGAAAGCATGCAGACTATGTCGCATCTCTGATTCGGCGACACTTGTTATCGATCTTCTCTTCTTTGCGCTCGCGACAGGCTCCTCAGCTTTCACGGGCCTTTCTTCGAGGTTAAACGACCCATCCCCATCCGTCCAACTGCTCTTGCCTCCTCTTCTTCTGAAGCCACAGAAGCATTGCCCACTGCTGCCGAGTGTCTGGAGAACGTACAGCACCGATTTCGCTTCAATGTCATTGGGACATCTTCCAAGCGCCTCCATGCATCAGACCACGGTGAAGCATGATGTGCAATGTGAAATAGATCTTGCAGGCACCTCGTACTCCTTGCAGTCCACCGGATACATGAGCACCCCGAACTCTCTCAGAGATAGACGACCCGGATGGCTGGTTTCGTCGCACCTCCATGCAGGGTGTGCTGGGCACCAGCTGAGAACCAGAGCTGTCTCGGCAAAGGCCTACGTCGCAGCTGAACTTCTTGTACCATAGCACCTGCTCGGATTTGCACATGGGTCGTCGCAGGGGTGGCGGGAGGGGCTAACTCGTCTGAATCGAGATCCGGGCAGATGCTGGAGAAGGTGCCTGGGCTGAACAGTGCACGCTCCGGAGTCGAATCACGCAATGGCCTCTCTGGTGAAGCTATGCGGGATAAGGAGCAGGAGCCCCGGAAGTCTTGCACCAACTGCCAGATGTCGATGTCCATTAGGTAGCCCTGGACATGTACTGCCACGTCAGGAGCGCAAGCAGGCAAGCTTGCCCAATGGCCTGGCCGGTCGGATCCAAGCTCCGGAACAAAGCCAAAAGCGGACATGACGGTCGCAGTGCCTCGCATCAACGCAAACAAAGCCTGCCCTCAGTGTCCTAGCCTTGTAGCCTTGTATAGCCTTCCAGCCTCAAGCCTAGCAGAAGAAGCCTTGCCATCTTCAGCGGCTACATCAGTCGTTGCTTGCCGCAGCATGGTCTGCACCACTGCCACAAGTAGCCTGAAGGACGTCCGAACGTAGAATTCCACTGCACTGCAATCAATGTTGGCCTGCTCGTTGCTGTGCAGCTCTCCGGCGTCCACATGGGGTCGTATCCTGCAGCATGAGGCTGAGTTGGGCTGTGAAGGAAGTTCTGTCACCAGGGAAGCCGGGCTTCCAGCTCAGTTGACGCTGAAAGTGCTCCAGGGACACTCCCGATCCAAAGCTTGTGGCATAGCGCTGCCACATAAGATCTAACTCCTTCCAGGGCCAAGCACAGCCGTGCGGAACAGGAGAAGTGTCCAACACATGCGCGACCTTCTCAGCCACGGGAATCTGCTGATCCCTGAAGGCCTTGCGGAACGAATGGCATCAAGAGTGTGGCAGAACACGAACACGACAAGTGTCTGGAGACGTTGTCACACAGTAATCCCACCTGCCGCAGACCCACGATGTCGAAGGTAGGCTGTCCCGAAGAAATGTAATCTCGGCGGCCGATCGTAGCAACAGCAGGAAGCCAACGTCGTTTGCATCCGAGAAGCAGAAGACCTCCTTCATGCAGGCTTCATCGAAACCTGCATGTGCAGCCAATCTCTTCCGGTCAAGCTCCAGGTTCTCCGCCTGGCGGGTTCTGCTTGTGCACACACTGCAACTGAGATGGAAAGGGCCCCAGCCGTGCGGGCCACAGCCGCAACGAGTCTGCAGAGAGTGTAACGATCTGCAGCGGTTGCTTTGGGCGCATCAAGGAAGGGCCTGACGGCAAAACAGGCCACGATCACCGCACACTACCAGTAGCAAGGGCGGCGGCAACATGCACGTGTTGCCTTGCCACGACGAAGCACCTGCCATCTATGCGGTTTATCTTGGCGCGACTTGGGCTGAGAATGGAGTGGACGGCGTCGCCGTGCTTTGCAGGTGTGTTCCCGCCTGAAAGCGGCTCCGCAGTTGCTGCAAACCACGTTCGGGCACGCCGAAGAGTCCGAGTCTCTCTGAATTCGGAAACCACCTGAAGCGTCTGGAAACTTGATGCCGAAAGAAGAATCTCTGTCGGCGCATTCTCGGCCGCGGGCAGCGTGGGCATGGCTCCGAAAACTGCAGCAGGTACAGGATCGACTTGGCTTCGTCGTCTGTGGCGGAATCGCACATTGCCTTGTGTTCCTGCAGAAAGCTCAGTCACAGCAACTTTGAACGTATTGCAGCGACGAGCCTTGGACTGCAAAGGATAGATCAGCTTCCCGAGGTCCCGGAATGTTAGATAGCCAAGCGGACGCCCTGCGCGGCAGACTTTGCGATGCCGAGACTGCCAAGGCTGCCAAGGCTGCCAGGCTGCCTCCGCGTCGCAGGTTTGCCTCGTGGACCAGAGAGCACAGGCTCGCGTAGGACACGGGCGCCTCGTGCTCCTGCGAAGAGCAGGAGTTGAAGGAGTTGAGAGCGCAGCTGCCATGCCGTGCCGCACCTTCACCAACTCCAACAGGTCGGTGTCCAGAACATGGCCCTCCATAAAAGCTGAGAGACTTCGCGACCGCGCGAAGCTAGAGAAGCACAGCGCCTGGCCTTCTCCAGGGGATCGAGGCATCTGAAGAAGGCTGGGAGGCCTAGGACGGAACCCTAGTCACACATAGCCAAAGGTTTTGTCTTGAGCACCGGTCCGCAAGCCCCAGCACCGGGACCGAGCATCGCCTCGAGACTCGAGAGATCTCAGGGCTCCGACATGGCTCCGAAATTGCGCCGAACCCTGCCTTGGCATCCTCAGCCTCAGCATCGCAGGCCGCTTGCCGGACCATGGCCTGAGCCAAGGAGAGCGCAACAGCGGGAAACAAAAACTTTCCGCAGTTGCACCAAGGCCGCCGGTCGGTGCCTGAAGAGCTGTTCGCAGCATTCGCAGCTCCCAGGCATCTCCGCGCTGTGGCGCCCACAAAGGGCCCTGACAATCAGATTTCTTCGCAGGCCGCTTCTTGCGGCTGTCTCGGGGCAGAACCCTGGGCAGGCACCTCGTAAAAGCCGTCCGCTATCAAGCGTGGGCTGCGCTCGGAATATGGACTCAGCCGAAGATCCGGTGGCCCGGGGCGCGGCATCCTCTTGGGAGGTCGTGTTTGCATGTTCGGGTGGCGGCGGAATTTGCCCAAGGCTCAGGCCGCCCCAAAGGGCTCTCTCTGAGCCGACCGGTCGCTGAGCTCTGTGCCTGCCCGGCCCGGATATCAACGAGAGAAGTTCGCGCAAAGAAGGCGCCTCCAGCAGGAAGGCCCGGTGCGACGGGGAAGGGGAATGAGGCGGCGCGGAGCGCTGTGGCAGGGGCAGCCGCGGTGCAAGCTGCCGCTCGGGCGACCCCGTCCCTGACAGTCAGAGGTTTGGACTAGGCGTCGACACATGTGCCCGAAGTACCAGCATCCAACTCTAAACCGAACTCTGCTCCTGTTTTCGTCCCCTGCAAGTGCCTGCCCTTGCCACAGAACATTTCAGCTCCGGTGTGCTGGATGCTCAAACACCCAACTTCCGGGATTTGCTCTGGGACGTGGCTCCGTGCGTCCAGACACTTGAACTCTTGCAGTCGTGATGACCCCCACACTGCGTAATTAGTAGGGGCAAAAAAAACTGGAATCTAATTGCATCGCTCTTGCCAAACTTGCTAGCTCAGGCGGGGCTTCTTCGCGGCGAAAAAGTTGGTCAAAGTTGCTTGCGACGAGCAAGGTTGTGTGCGTCGGCTCTCTGCTTCAGACAGGGCAACGACGCCACCCAGGCGTAGCCCTGGCAGCGGACATTTTCACATGTCGGCTCAACAAATCTTGGCAAATGCCGCCTTCGAAGCGTGCGCAAACAGGGACGTGGTCCGAGTACCTGCGGCCAAACCACGTTTTAGACGGAACCCAGAACAGTCTTTGCTATCACTCTGCCTATCCATAGTATGGGTTTAGTATGCGGAGCTGCCAGCCTCGGAGGAGTGTACAAGATGCCCGTGTGTGGCGACCGGAACTGCGAGTTGTTCAGCCGCATGTCATCCTTCTGCAAGCCCAACCCATCATCGTCGTCTTTCGACGCCCTCAGACGCCCGCACGCCTCCGTGTTAAGACAATCACAGCACCGAAGAGACAGAGCTCATTGAGAAGTGATGTCGATGTGAGCAAATTGGCAAAGCAACTCGAAGTTCCAACTCTTGGGCAAGCAGCGGGGGCGCTGTGCCAGGCCCCGAAGCATGTCGCAGCGCTTTTTGCCGCCTGAGCGACAAGGTACTGGATGCTACGCCAAACTCTTCCGAAATCCCCAGCTAGCCTCTGCTGTCTCGGCTGCATGTAGCGACGATGAGCCGGCTAGATCCGAGGTCGGAGTCCTCACCAGATGCTTCTGCCTTGGCAGACGGTCTGTTGCTGCTTATGCCCAGGGACGCAAACTTGCGGCGCCCCTGCTGCATTGCTTCGCTGAGCTTGTCGCATAGAAGTATCGCAAAGGATATAGTCCAGGCGTGCCCCAAGGTTCAAGAAGCGCGAATTGGCGAGTTGATTCCACTGCTTATACCGCCCCAGGCAAGCGGCTCCATGGCAGAGTGCGAAGGTGTCAACGAAGGCTTCGCTGCCTTCGCCTTCGCAGCTCTGGCTCAGCAGGGCTAAAAGCCAGTCCACACACGGAGCCTCTCTCCTGACATGTCAGCGACTGCAGGCAGGTATAACAGGCGTTTCTCTGTCCATACTAGTAGATTCTGTCAATGCCTCAGCTCAATTTGGTCCAGGAGTCACCCTGTCGGGAAGCGAACCCTCCACCTCCAGCTCCTCGAAAGGCACACCGAACTCGAGCAGTACCAGCTCATCGCTAAGGCCTTGTTCTTATGAAAGCAATCACGGAAACAAGGGTCGAGGCTTGCAGTAGGCATACAACCGAAGTCTGCCACAGGCGCCTTCCAGGAACCGCAGGGGGGCGTCGTCAGATGAAACAGCCGTGCTGCACCAGAGCTTGGGTAAGGACGATCGCTCGACCTTCGTCTCAGAGCCCTTGATCCTGGTCATCGCCGTAAGGACACGACCCAGGGGAAGCAAGGGCATGTCTGGTGGCAGATGATTCGGAACTCTGAAGCCCGTCGGACAGTGCACCAAAGCTTTCAGGCAACTCTTGGCGTTCTCCGCTGTCATCGTCACTTGTGCCTGCAGAGCTCTATGGGCAGCTGCCACGTATATGTGAGATCCAGGCGTAGCGTCCTCCGGCAATGCCCAGTCCTTCTTGCCACATACACAACCCGCCTGAACTTTGAGGTAAAGGCGAGCAGGTGCAACATCAGCTGTGCGGTATGTAAGGTTCAGATCACCACAGACCAACACCTGCTTGCCAAGTCCTCGAACTTCCTCGATGCGCATCTGGAGGAGGCGCAAGAATTTGACCTTCTGCTGCAACCTTTCTTCATCGACACTACCGTCCTCTTGCCACTGCACTCTGGGGACATACACGTTGAAGATGGCGAGGCCGCCCAAGTCCACAAGTAGACAGCGGCCTTCCTTGTCCATCTCATCCCGCAGAACTGCCTGAGTGGCTCGTGCCTGCGGAGCAAGCTCTTTCCGAATCCATGTTGCCACTCCGTTGAAACCGGAGACACGGCCCAGAAACTCTGATAGGCACCTGTCTTAGAGATAGCACCCAGTTGCTGGCATTGTTCCCGGGTCTTCAGGTGACTCTCGGTGATGCGAGTCTCCTGAACACAGAATATGTCAGCCTGGCGTCGTTCGAGAAACAAGTCCAGGCTGCCGAAGTGAGTCTTTATGAGGTCGTGGGTCCTCCACCAACAGCACAGCGAAATCAATGCGTTTTGGAAGAAAGGGCCATTGTATCTTCTAAGCTGTCCTCGAAAATCCACAAGAGTTCCAGGAAACCACCAGCAACGAATCTGCTGTGGCAGCAGCAAGATTTGCTTTGGCTGCTGGCGCCCTGTAGGAACCCATTCCCACTCGACTTTGCAGTTCAGCGCCCTACAGCTTGGACAGTTTGCTCCTTACGCCTTGTCACCTTGTGCCGTGCGCAGGTTTCCTTAAAAAGGGGCGGGTAAGTCTTGTCATTGAAAGAAATGCGACAGACATGCTGCATGCTCTTTGCTTCGACTTCGAGAGCTAAAAGCTGCCAACTCCAGCGGTTCTGCTCTCAGAGGTCGCGGAATGGCAAAGCGCTGAATCCGCCTCTGGCAGGTGATAGGCGACGCCCAGGCACCTGACATGGCAAAGCACCAAGGAGCCCTGAACAGGATCTCCGCAACTTCGGATCAACGAGAGCCTCCTCGTCCCACCATGACCATCCTCGATTCTCAACGCGTCCGGGAGGAGCACCCTCGGTAGTCCATTGGTGCGACCGCTTGCCGACACAGCAGACGCTAGCATAAGAAAGCTCGGAGCCGACACAGGTCCAGCATGCGACCGAGCTGCTGGATCGCGTGCAAGGGCACGGGGCGAGGATGGCGCGTTCCTGCTTGAGGTGGCAATGGCAACTGGTGTTGGGCCCCACTAGGTAAGGATCTACGGATCACATGTTACGGGCTTTTGCTGTCAAATACCCTGCTCCATTCGTGTCTAGGATCATGGTGCCAAGATGCTGAGCAGAAAAGGATTAGCGCGATTCAGGGTATCATGGAGACTTGATCTGCGGAGGCAGCACAAGCGCAGTGATGCTAGTTGGGGCCGTCATCGATCAGGCGTGTCGGGACAAGCGACTGATTATTCACATCGGCGTCGGGCTTTTTTTCGGGGGGATTGCCTCTTCAGGTCAGGATGCTTCATGTTGCAGACTGTCAGCTTTGTTGCACTGTACCCATCCATAATTGAACCCAGATCTGCCCGAGGTTCTGGCACGGATCTCGGAGAGGCCACAGCCTCTACCCAAGACAAAAGCCGCAGTTTGGTTGCATGGGCAATGAAAAAATGGCCTGCCTTGGATGGTTGGTAAAGGCCGATGGGTCTTGATGGCTCCTGAAATCTGGGGGAAGCCCACATGCGTTGAGCTGGCCGTCTTGCACGAGGGAATTCGTAAGAGCGTCGCCAGCATTGGCGGCGGTGGCGGCGAAAGCCTTTCGAACCGTGAACTTCTTGCTATGAAGAAACTATCAGCAGAAGTCAATGCCAAGCCGCTGATGGGCAGGGATGATCACGTCAACCATAGGCTTGCGAGCTTCTGGAAGGGCCCTGCACTGAAGCTGTGAGCATGAGATCGCCCTCGAATCAAGAAAGGGGTGTGGGCCTGCGATCGCCTCCGTTTGCCTGCCTCGAAGTGATACTCGAATTCAAGTCATCACCTCGGGCCTCGGGCCGTGCCTGAAGGGCCATTCCCTCGATTGCCAGAGTGGAGCCTGGATGGGAGCTCCAGGCCCTCCTGCAACGCCTCCAAACTGGAACTTCTGCAAAGCACCCGATCCAGTCGCACTCAGGTCCGTGGGCTCCTGGCCTGGACCTCTTCGAGGCGACAGCTCCTGTCGTTCAAGCCAGCCTGGCGTGGCACAGCATGGCAGGCCAGGCTCTCAGAAACATCGCAGACAACTGCTGTTTTTTTTTCACCCAGCCTCTGCAATTGCTAGCCTCCGCCGCAGCCTGCGATCTCAATCTCTTGCGTAAGCCGTAAGCAGCTCCCACCCAGTCAAGGAGGCCTGTCTTGCTGCACATGCAGCCTGTCTGCCAGGGCTCGCAGACTTCCTGCACAGAAACCACGCAGCCGTGGAAGTGACAGAGAGCTTCTCCTCTCTCCTCTCCTTGCCTGGGACTCCACGAGGCGCTTCCTGAGCCACTGCGCAGCTCACCTGCCGGCACACGAAGCGACGAAGCAGTGAAACACAAAATCAGGTTCTCTCTCAACTCTGCCGCTCACCTCGTTGGGCCGAAGCTGCCTGATAAGCTGCATCAGCCCGCTTGAGTGCAGATCACAAGGATCCTTGCCTGAAAAGCTCTCATCTCCGGACCACCGCGAATCCAACCTCCAAGCAGACTGCGGCTCAGGATCACTGCTGGCACAAGTGTTACACTCCCCTGCCTGGCTGAGGCTGCAGGATGAAGTCCACAAGCTCCTCCGCTCTTTACGCGGGAATTTTCACTGGATCCTCTGTACTGGCAACTTGCCATGCAAGCGACGAAGCTCCTCGGCAGAAGCTGCGGGGAGGCTGCCACTCGTCCAATTGCTCTCTAAGCCCGCGCGACGCAACAGCGCTTCGCAGCGTACATCGTCGCATACCTCCCATGCACTCTGAGCAGAAGCTTTCTAGCAAGGACAACTGCAACCGTGCCTTCAGGCGATCCACCAGCAAGTGGCGAGGCCCACCCGGAGCTGTCAATAACGCCTCCTCGCAATCGGGTATAGGTCAGCCTTCGGCCCCTCGGATATCACCGACAGCTGGACAGCTGGGGCCAAAGACAAGAGACCTCCGGTGCGGCTGCAGGTCTGCAAGGCGACGCCTCTGAATTCCGAGACCTGAGCTCAGTGGTTCGAGTCCGGCTGCTTGGCCAGCCGCCCTTGAAAGCACGCGGCGTGCCAGCAGATCGCGCTCACCTTCCAGCAGGCGGCAGAACCTGCTTTGGATCAGCTCCGCTCAGAGGCCGCTCGGACTCTCAGCCGCGGCCTGTAAGCGACTTCGCTTGGGATGTGCTTCGACTGACCTCAGCTCGTCGAATCTGCTGTGCTCACGGCACGCGAGATCCAGTTAATCGTGGGGCCTCCGCGACAGGTGCCTCGCAGCAAAGTGGCCTCCTGCAACAAGAAAACAGATTCCGCACATTTAATAACCCTCGAGGTTCGTAATAAAAAACGTAAAGCACGACTGGCTCTGTGTGTGTGTGTGTGTAACCGCAGGCCTTCAGCCATGAGTTCGCTGGAGCTCGTGGCAGTACCAAGAGGAGGAAGCCATTGTAACCTGACGCGACGATTTGCTGCATTCCAGGTCAAGCCCAGCAGGGATCGCTTGTCGATGCTGGTCGAGCAGATTGCCTAAACTCTGCTCTGACATAGTGAGTGCATGGCGAAGCTCGCCGTGAGGATTGAGTACAGGTGCGAGCACGGCCGCCACCTCACGCACTTGGACATGCCATCCAAACACCACGTTTGTAAGATGTTATAGATCACTCGATGACGGGCATCAACCACTCTCCGATGCCCCCCGAAGGCACCCGACAGTGTGCCTCCTCCAGAAGTAGGCCAGCAGCACTATGAAGCTGTTGGCCGAGCCAGTTGAACACATCGTGGACACTGACCCAGCCCTGGAGGAGAAATCATGTCAGAACAGGCACTCTAGAAATCAGCCCGTCCACCTGATGAGCAGACGACCATTTCCCAAAGAGGCTCCTCGCGAGGGCCATGGGAGACCCGCGTGCGACCAACAAAAAAAAATACTTTTCATGACTGACTGCGCGGTCATGAAAAACTCATTCGGATCGAACTCACGCAGCTCGCAGAGGCGACATCTTGCCTGGCAGTCGCTTGGCTGAGTCGTTTCAGTGCCCGGCCGCAAGAAGCCCTGTCTGACCTGTCTTTGACGGTTACAAAGTCCAACTTGCCTTGCCTGCTCCAAAGCCAGTTCCCCTTCTGCAGCCACCTCCAGAGAGCAGGATGCTTGGTATAATTCGCCGTGGGGGTGTACGGAAACAAGTCTATGGAATGCTGGATGGAGCTTCTTGGCTAGAGAAAGCTTCTGGGCTTTCTGCTCACATGCCTCAAGTCTGGCTTCTTTGACAGTACGGTTCCTGCTTTCTCGAGTTAGGCGACTAGCGGAGCTTGAAGGAGTTGCATCGAATTTCATACTCTGGCGACGCAGCGATGCCTGCTGTCATTCCAGCACTGCACTGCGTCACTGCGCCGTCTTTCGGACTGGAGAACTGGCTCCTTTGCTACGTCGCCTGACTTGACACCCGCGCCTGCAGAACCGCCAGGGCGGAGGACTCCTGCTCACCGCTGACGCCCCAGGCATCCGGACCTGCGCACTGAACCCGCGCGCCTCTGAGCGGAGCTCCCTGTGCCATCAATATCCCCACCAGGCCTGCCATGGAGCTCTGTAAACCGGAGCTCCAAGTCCGGAAACAGGACACGGAACCTGTCAATTCTCGCTCCGCCGCGATGGCAATCGTGCGTTTTCCAAAGCATCCCTTCTGCTCTGCAAGCTCGCAGCAGATGCTGTGCTGCGAAGAGCTCGTCACAAAGAGAAACACACATTGAACTCAGACTCTTGGCCTTGGCTTGCTCAAGTAGCTTGCATGAAGCCATCCCATGCTCGTGGATGGGCCAGCATGAATTTGCATGCATTTTTCGATGTTCGGCGTATAGGGCTGATATGAGCAAGCGCCACGATACGTAGAGACAAGCTTTCGAGTGTTGCTCGTGTTCACCCCTGCCTCGTCCACAACAGAACGATGAAAACATACATGATAATCTGATACAGATGAATGTTCATAGAATACAGATGAATGTTCATAGAATACGTGAAGCCTCTGCGGTAGGTACACTAGCTTTCCGAGCTGGCAGCAGTCCCACACAGAAAGCCCTGGCATTC